AATTATTAATTTATTATGTTTATATAGTGTTACTAATATATAGTTGTGTGTGTGTGTGTGTGTGTGTGTGTGTGTGTGTGTGTGTGTGTGTGTGTGTGTGTGTGTAGAGATAAAGATGTAGTTATGTAAGATTGTGGATAAAAAAAAAATTCATACTTAATCTTCGAGAACAGACTACTTGTTAGATATGCCAAAGCCATTCTAGTTCTTAATTAAAGCTGACTTGAAACAAAGGGGGATTCTTTAACAGGTATAACCAAATGCTATGTTAAATGTTCTTTCATAATTAACACCAAAGTTCCAAAGTCTGAAGCAATTACTACACAGGATTTTGAGCCTTAATTAATTTTGCTCATAGATGTTGAAAGTCTAATATTAGAAGACTTAGTACTGCTTCTTTGTCATTAGCACATGAATGTATAATCAAACTATTTAAAAATCCCACAGTTTGTATATACATAAAATTAAACTTTAAACACACTGACATTATCTATAAAAAATAAAAATATTATATAAACATTGCTTACCTATCAGGAAAAGTAAGTCATTTAACAAAACCCAGGCCCCATGGTCACCAAAGTACATGTATGCTGAACACACCAAAACATACCCACCAATGCAATACATATCACACCCAGCAACTTTAACAAATTGTAAAAAAATTAACAATCATAAATGAGGCCTAGTTGACGGGCATTAAACACCGCCTGGATGCCCTTTATCCCACCTGTGCCCAATTTTTTCCTTGTGTTTCCCCATCGCCTTTTCAGCTATATCCCGAGAATCAAACTGCACATAAGCCTCCCCCGTGCTCCTCCCCTGGATGTCTGTTGGTAGAGTGATCCCATTCGGAACAATCTTCAACCCTTCAGTTGAAATCCAACCCAACAGAAATATGATACATAAAATTTCCCAGCTGTTAAAACTTGATAATCTCACAGAAAAACTATCAATAGCAATGTTGAAACCAAGCTGTCAACTCTCTTTATATGAGACCAACTAGCCTGGAAAATGAAAATAATACAGCTAAAATTTTCAAACCCTTTAAACTTACTTCTACTGTAGTTTTACCCATTTCATAATTCAAGTGAGGCATTAAACAATTATGTAAAATGTTTAAATTCAAATTGGTTTATAAATTCTCCACAATGTTTTGTTTAAGTTATAATAAAACAACTTAATATAATGAAATGGGTTATCTTTCACAGCATATACAAACAATTAGAATTCCTATAAATAGTAATAAAAACTGATAGTTATATTTAATAATTTATAAAAGCTTCTATGATTAATAATCCTAATATATTAGTCCATGAAAATACCAAATACTGATCAGTTCTTAAGAAATTATAACACTGAAACAGGATACAGTAATTATGTGAAAAGTAAACCCCTATTTGGCCAATCATGATGCAACTTGTTTCCTTAACCACAAATTCAATTTCTTTATAAAATTTAATCACAAACCTTTAGTTCTATAACAAATGATACATTTTCTGGTAAGTGACATCCCTATTTTTAAATCTTAATAAATTGTGTAGATTAAACCCCATGCCTACCATAAATAAGAACACATTAATTTATCCTTAAATAAAGGTTAAATTGTGTCTTCTATGTAAAACAAACATCTGTGAAAAAAAAACTCTTCATAACATTTACTAAATGAACAGGAAACATACATTTAAAACTTTATTTAATGCAGCTTTGCGACACATGAGTGTACATTGAATAATCATGTGTGAATGATGCCAAAAGTGCTTATACTCTAAATACCAGCCAGATATGATCATGAGCTGCATCTGGAAATTTAAATTAAGTATATAAGTTGACAATAACTTTTTATATTTTTACATAGTTTAAGGTGAAAATAAAGCTATCACAATTTGGTATATTGAAACCACAAAAAAAAGTTTGCTAAATTTATATTTGTCATCATGTTTTAACCTTGTGTGTAGTCAAGTTTACCATGAAGAGTACCTTTAAAACCTCTTTCTGTTAGACTTAAGACCACTTATCATACAATAAGTAACAGACCAAAACCACAGAGAAATTGCTGTAATAATTAACAAAAAGATCAGTATTATGCACAATCAAAATGATAAAGCCAATATACATATAAATGATCAACAAATGCACAAATACAGACATTCATACTTGAAAATATAAACTATAGATAAATAACAATTCAATCACATTTTATTAGTCCAATTTTGTTTGTAATTAAGCACAAAGCTACACAATGGGCTATCTGTGCTCTGCCCACCATAGGTATCGAAACCCGGATTCTAGCGTTATAAGTCTGCAGACATACCGCTGTGCCACTGAGGGGCTATTAGTCCAAATAAGGTATTATAATTGTACTGCAGTTATAAACAAATGTTAAATATATTCAACTGTTTTTGATTGACTTTTTTTAGATAATAATTCCATGAATAAACAAACATGAGAAAAATATACATAATAAATAGTACACAAAATGTTAACTGTTAGTGGACAGCAACTGCACACATTCATATTTTGCTTAGTCAATCACGAACTTTGTCAAAAAATTCACATTTTGATACTCATACTGCAATTTGGGGAGAAAAAGCTAAACTAACTCAGTGAAGAAGAAATAAAGTATTCAAATTTATTAACACGACTCACTGTTCTGTAGTTTTAATTTGTTGTGCCTAGGAAATAAAACCATTGTTGTTTAAAATGTTGGAAAAAATATCAAAATAAGCATATTATTGATTTTCTATCTTTATTCGTGCAATCAATTTGCTAAAATTTATTAATTTCACATTTTAAGTGAAAAGCAACACAGTCACAAATGATTAAATATAGTAGATTTTTTTTAGAAGTTATTCAATATATCTAATCCAACTTCAAAGAGATGCAACATTGTCACATATAATTGCATTTAATTTTTTATAGCTGTCATCACTTACAGAAATTTGAGATTTTCACATTCCAAGTTTTTCATGGAGATATTTAGGGGATTTTTTTCTTAAAAAAACATGCCAATATCAGATGTTTAGTAAGTAGTATTAAAATAACTGAATCTTCACGAAGATGTTACAGTTCATATTGTTACAGTCAATCATGCAATACCTGAAAAGCTTACATCTTGACAATAATCCTTTTATGTAGTTTACATTGCAAACTGCTTCATTATAAGGCTCTTATGTCTAAAGTACACCACCCCTCACTTCATGCTTTCCACGAACTATCTTCCATATGATGATGATGGCTCTCCAGTGCCCATTTCAACAGTATAATCAGAGGAATCCATAGGTTACACATCCAGTGACCTGACCAATATGTTTCCATGTAAACCAGCATTAATATCCATTTCATTCTCCAGCTGCTTGAGGTAGTGATGATTGAATTCATATCATGGATCAAAATATTACACAAAGAATTTAACTTTGCCTGAGAAATTTCATATTTTTAGTAGGCTTTCTCGATCGAGAATGCATGGACCCTCTGTATTCTTTTAGTTATAACCAATGAAAGTGAACATATTGCATGGGTTAAATAAAAAAAAAATTTGCGAGGGAATGCAACTTTACATGAGAGAAAGTAATCTTCTTGATAGCTTTCCCTCAAGTGAATTTAATTTTATTTCTATCCCTGGATATTTTGTAGAAGCAGCTTGTGTACACAACTTGTCACTTTCTATCAGATATCAGTCTTCATTATGTTGTGAAATGTTGCTAGGGGCACATGAACTTTGTATTTATGGATTTTCACCTATTACAAGATGCCATACTTTGTTAATTGTGGCAGTGGTACAAATTGTTGCAGATCTATTTCTGGATGATCCTGCTGCCCCAAGGTGACACATATTCCTTTGCTTTCCAACACCCACAAATTAGAAATTCTAAATCCTCAACCTGAAACATCATTATGACATTTTGCATCAGAAAGATCTGTTACATGCCTTTCCCAAATGCAATCAATTTTTGGTGGCATGACACTACCTATGAAATGCCAAATAATGTCAAAATATAGTTCTTGTGCAATCCATTGAAACTTTATATCAGCTGTAGTTGTCATATATTATTTGCTGATTTAAATATTCATTACTATAAATCTTGTATATATATTGTAAACCATAGTGTCTGTCCAAGTGTTCACCTATCTCCTGTTTGAAAAGATGTGCATGCAGGCAAAGCTTAACATTCACTTTGAAATGATGAGAGAAAAGGAATGAATAATGTTGATGCCAAATTTCACTTTGCAAGCAGAATATTCTACACTAAATTATTAGGAATTAATCACACTATCATTCAAATTTCAAAATGTGATATAACTTAATGAATAAATGTAGATTTACCACATGTTATTCTTGAGTGGCTCTTAGCATGACTGAATTCCTTAACAATTACTTTTCGCAGTGGGTGATATAAGTAGCTCAAAGCTTTGGCTCAGAGTACAACCAAGAGAGCAACACAATTAACCTTTTTAAAGTCCACAAAATAATCTAAAATTGATAGATTAACCTAGACTTTCCCCGTTACTGGGAACGGGCACTTTTACTTGTGTGTGTGTGTGTGTGTGTGTGTGTGTGTGTGTGTGTGTGTGTGTGTGTGTGTGTGTGTGTGTGTGTGTGTGTGTGTGTGTAGTTAGTTAAGTAAGAAAGTAAAGTAATAAATAAGTAGTAGTAGTAGTTAATTATTAGTAGTAACGAAACTAAATAAGTATTAAGTATATTAGTTAGTAAGAA